TAGATTTTACGTTTCCGAGTTACAGGGTTTTATTCATAAAAAGAGGGGGATTTTCCAGTTTTCGGACAATAACTAAAAAATGCTTTCAGCAGTTCTCATGAAACTTTGGTGTATTGTTAATATCTGTTGATGTAAGCTCCCTTTAGAATTTCCTAAATTTTAGATTTTACATTTCCGAGTTATGGGGTTTTATTCATTAAAAAAGGGGGGATTTTCCAGTTTTTGGACAATAACTAAAAAATGCTTTCAGCAGTTCTCATGAAACTTTGGTGAATTGTTAATATCTGTTGATGTAAGCTCCCTTTAGAATTTTATAAATTTTAGATTTTACGTTTCCGAGTTACAGGGTTTTATTCATAAAAAGAGGGGGATTTTCCAGTTTTCGGACTATAACTAAAAAATGCTTTCAGCAGTTCTCATGAAACTTTGGTGAATTGTTAATATCTGTTGATGTAAGCTCCCTTTAGAATTTTCTAAATTTTAGATTTTACATTTCCGAGTTATGGGGTTTTATTCATTAAAAAAGGGGGGATTTTCCAGTTTTTGGACAATAACTAAAAAATGCTTTCAGCAGTTCTCATGAAACTTTGGTGAATTGTTAATATCTGTTGATGTAAGCTCCCTTTAGAATTTTATAAATTTCAGATTTTACATTTCCGAGTTATGGGGTTTTATTTATTAAAAAAGGGGGGATTTTCCAGTTTTTGGTCAATTACTCAAAAATGCTTTCAGCAGTTCTCATGAAACTTTGGTGAATTATTTATAGCTATTGATGTAATCTCCCTATTGATTTTCATAAATTTCAAATATGACATTGAGAAGAAATTGAACTTTATTTGTTTATAGTCTGACAACAGATTTACAGTACTAAGTATTGCACAATAGCGAGAAATCTTTAATTGAATATAAATTCAATTCATATAACCAATTTCAAGTTCTTTGGCTACATTTATTCAGATACCTATAATATGTCAAATATTTAATTACAATCCAAATTCAGACCTGTATCAAGCTTGAATATTGTGTCCATTTTTGCCCCAACTGTTCAGGGTTGGACCTCTGCGGGCGTATCCAGCTGCGCTCAGTGAAGCAGTTTATTATATACATGATATCATGTTCACATTGCTTTATGTACATCAAAAATACTAGAACATTCAACCATTATTCTAATAGCTTAAATGTTATTCAAAATTTTTTGAATGTTTCAGATATATTTTATGGTTGCTGGACAATTTTCACCACTAACTTAATTAAGCCTGGTATAGATTTATGGTGTCAGTCGAGATTAGTTAATAATGCAGTGAACATTTTTTTATTTATCAAAATATATATAAAATAGTATATAAAGCAACTTAATAAATGTTAAAAATGACACCTTTGTTTTGTAAAACCAAGAATTTAATATAATTATGATAATAAAACTTTCATAGCAATCCTTGATAACCTTTTAAATCAAAGTACTGAAGTACTGAACCACGGATAACCGCAAATTCTGGTGGATAGTCACAGGCACTTGTCTTAGAAAAAATAAGATATCTCTATACCTGAAAGTAACTTAAGGTACATAGATTTATTTTTTTTCTGAGACAAGTTCCTGTGTGGATAATGAATAAATGACAGAGAATTCAACCTCACCGTAATAATTATTATAGTGTAGTGATATATTCATGGGACAATCATTAGTTATCAGTATAATCTGAGACTACTATAACACATATATAGTAGTCTCAGGTATAATCTGTTTTGTTGTTATATATTATATTAATATTTGTACAACAGTTATATATATAGCAGATCATCTTAATAACTCTCCCGGCAAATTTTCATCCATTTATACCATCATTCTAATCTACTATTCTAATGATAGTGCAATGCAAGTGCATGGTGGACACTCTTCTGTCATAGTTCGTTTTTCTAATAGGTTTGATTTGAGTAGACATTTATATTTCTCCCGCTAATGAATATGTATTGATGAAATTAATATATAACAAGCGATAAGAGATATTCATCCGCAAACACATTTTTTCGGTACGTGTGCATAATAAATTTTAATGATTTTTTACTTTTATATATATATATATATATTTCTCACGACAAAGCATTTTCATATTATTTATTTATGTTCTTACAAAAATATTTTCATGAATATTCATTGGAGAAATGAATTTATAACAAGCGACAAGGAATGTTATTTTGCACTCGATAATATCCGCGTATTTATACGAAATACGTTCGGTTATCAGTCAAAAACGCAAGTCACGTGGGTAGAAATGTTTGCGGCAACATAACACCGAAATGCCCTCAAGGTCATCCGCTGTATAAAGGAAATGTATTCCAAAGTTGCAGTAAAAATTTATTTTAATCAAATTTAAATATGTTTTGTCAAAATTAAAGACATGGCATACAAGAAGCACTTCCATAAGGTTTAATTACCTAGTACATGTGTGTTTTACAGGTAAAAAGAAAACCCTATTTTTCTTAAACTCGTGTATTACTTATCTAGTGAATTCAAAAGGCCTTGTGATTTAAGTTTTACAGCATGTTGTAATTTTCAATGGATGTTATCTAAAATTTATTACTCTCTGACCAGGTGTGATCTTTTTAATGAGTGTGCCCCAAGCAGGATGTATTACTTTATAGTTTACCCCTAATCAGAAGAACAATTTTATTCATTTCTTTAATTTTTCATCCCTTTTTAAAATATATATATACCCCAAATTATAGTAAGAATAGATATATTTCTGATATAAGGTTAAACAATTTCAGTGATTTTGTTGGCTGTTGTTACCTCATTAAAAAGATAGTTGTATAACTATTGTATGTAACCATGAAACTTATGTAGTTTTTATTTAGGAATTTGAGAAAATCAAGTTTTGTTTAAAGAAAAACACATGCCAAACAAAAAGCGTCTTAATGAGGTTTTATTACCCTCAGTATAGGTGTGGTTTTCAGGTAAAAGTAAATCTTTTTTTAACAAGACTCATACTTTAAAATTAGATAATTTTACTATCTCGATTTGATCAATCTGAGAATCTTGTAAGAATGTAAAAATCTGTTTATATATATATATATATATATATGTTTTTTCATGCACACGTATAAAAATTGCGGTTTTTATCCAACGCAATCATAGATTTGAACGTTGTTTTCAATTTAGACTTGTTTATATTTTTTCGTTTGGGCTTGTATTATATTTGCCTTCGGGTTTATATGATCCGTTCATCCTAATTTGACTCCTCAAAATTCGAGAGTCTATCCTAAATTGAGGTAAATTACATGGCCTTCCAAATACTGTTTCGATTCCTAACATCACTGAAGAGACATTAATTGTCGAAATCCGGATATGGTGTACAAAAATCTTTGCATCTTTGTTTGCGGTATACCATCTTTGCCGCAAGTTTATTGTTTTCTGTTTGGTATTAAATTTTTAATTAAGATCTATTTATTACACCTTGTGATCCGTTTATTTGGCAATCGCCAATGGCAGTCAGCAGGGTTTAAGAACATTTGTTGTTCGACCTGTTAGTCAAATGCGTTTTGTTAAAATATACTTTTTCACTTTTTTGGTCTTTTGGAAAATGTTGTTTGTGCTGTATTTAGACCCCTCTAACAAGAAATTTGTTTTTGCATGCACACGTATAAAAATTGCGGTTTTTATCCAACGCAATCATAGGTTTGAACGTTGTTTTCAATTTAGACTTGTATATATATATATATATATATATCTTTACTTTATTGTGGCTGTTGTCCTGTCAGTTAAAAAGAAAGTTATTTTAACCGTCAAAATTAAAAAAGAAGAGGTTATTTGGTCAGGAATGGTTCAGACTGGTCGAGTATTGTTCAGACCTTTGGTCGAGTATGGTTCAGACTGAAAAAATAGGTCTAGAACTGGTCAAGTATTGGTCGAGTACAGGTCGAGAATGGGTTAAGACTGTTTCAGACTGGTCGAGTAATATCAATTCAATAGCAAAAATCAGGGTCAAGTACAAATCAGTATAGTCGAGTATGCATGGTTAAGATTGAGATCGAGTAATATCAAGTAAAATTCAGACCAATTCAGACTGGTCGAGTAAAAATCGGTACAGTCGAGTACAGACATAGGCCATTTCAGACTTTTACTGGTTTGTAGTGATAGCCTTAGCCGTTTTTGGCACAATTTTTCAGATGTTTTGGCTCGTAATGCTCTTCAATGTCCGGATGTATGGCTGCCGATTAATATTTCTGTCGTATTTTGTTCAGGATCAACACATCAGAGGTTCCTGAAATTCGGTATCAGGCTTTATATGTGGGCTTACTGTACTATGTGATGCGTTTTTTGATTCATCAGCTTTGGGCACCAACTAGTTGTAGGTCCATGATATTTGGTATGCAGTTGTATTAACATTGGCATATCTCATTTCTTTGGTGATTATTTGGCCCTGCTTTCTCAGTCATGGTCTTTTGAATTAGTTTACACATATAAGGTTGTGACGAGGTCAGTATATTGGGAACCACTAGTGGTATGTCTATGATATTTGGTAGGCAGTTGTATTAGCATTGGTACATCTCATTTTGATGGATATTATTTGGCCCTGCCCACTCAGTCATGGTCGTTTGACTTAAAATGTTTAGGCTTAAGAGAACCATTAGTGATAGGTCAATGATATTTGGCATGCAGATTTAATGTGATTGAAAAGTATGTTGAGTATAGGGAACTTAGAACTTCATATGTTCAAAACTCATTACTTATTGTTCTTAACAAATATCATTTTTGAACAATTACTGTTTATCCATATTTTCCTACTATAGTATATGCACAGGATTTATTTGTTTTTACAGTTTTGATTTAGAAGAAAAACCGATATGGTTAGAAAATACAAATAATTACACCATTACTAACACAATTCTATATTAATATTCTTTAAATGGTTAGAAAATACATAAAAGTACACCATTACAAACTCAATCCCAATTTCATATTCTATTTTTAGAAATTTACCTGTGACGTCACTTTTTGTGGCGTTGATACATTCGTATGACGCACAGTTCATAATTCTATTGTGGTGTAAATGGGAGGTGTCCGTTGTTATTCTGTGGTTTACATGTTGTAATGTACTATTATATTATTTATTTGTGTAGGTCTCTGTCCTGAGTGTTCTTGCGTTTAGTTGTAATGTATTCCTGTCACGTAATGTTGTCATTTGAGCGGTATTTTTAACATTGCCATATAAGCGGGAGGTTTTGCTAGCCATAAAACCCGGTTCAACCCACCATTTTTTTTCTTAAAATATCCTGTACCAAGTCAGGAATATTGCAGTAGTTATCAAATAGTCTGTTTCTATGTATGTTGGCGTTTGTTTTTTGTAGCAGTTCAGTGTTTCTGTAGTTCCGTTGTTTTCCTTTTATAGTTGATGTGTTTCCCTCGGTTTTGGTTTGTGACCCGCATTTGTTTCAGTTAAATCGATTTATGACTATTGAACAGCGGTATACTACTGTTGCCTTTATTCCGTCTAACATCCATCTTTACTACAGCTGCATTTATGCTATCAAATTGGTACAGTTCCCTGTAAACACTGTATATATTTATCTGTATCTATATTGCCACCTGATATTATACATGCTGTTTTCCCAACACCCACAACACCTTTCATCGCTGCAGCTACGGTAGCAGCGCCTGCTCCCTCTGCCCTTACGTGGTTTCCTTCGCTCAAAAGCTTAACTGTATCAGCCACTTCCTGTAAACTAACAACAATCGAATCTGTCACAAGACTTTTAACCAGAGGCCATATTTCAGGAAGAATAGATTTTACTCCAATACCATCTACAAAACTTGTCTGATAAGAGAATGTGACTGGTTCCTCACCTTGTAATGCTGCCTTCAACGGACATGCTGTCTCCACTTCACATGCATAGACTTTGATGTTTGGATTGTGTGATTTGGCAGCTATAGCTATGCCACAAATCAGACCTCCTCCTCCATAGGGAACTATAATGTTACTGATATCAGGTATACAATCCACTATCTCCAAACCTATTGTGCCAACACCTTCAAATATATAAAATATTTATTAGTAACGAGGCTTAATTAAATCATATATAATTATAGTAATAGCCTAACTAAAGCACACTTCTTACCAGACTTTTATCTTCCTTAAGGGCCATTAACTGACTAATTCGTTATCACCGAATTGAGTCAAACTCTTTAATTTGATCCATAACATGCAAAAATATTGACTCGAATTACAAAACTTCCAAATAAATCAATAAACAATGCATCAAAACGTTATAAAGTATCAGCATTTCGCGTCAGTAGATGCCAACTAATGAACCACCGAGATGACATCCAACGACTACCAATGGTTATGTGACCCGATATAAAAAATAAATACAAATATAAATAGACAGACAAACAAGTGTAATTATAGTAAAAGGACGAATCATCGTTTTACGTGCATGATAATGTTTTTGTGGGTCAAGCAGTCAACGAAATTGTTCTTCCTGGTGGCTCCCCTGTTTGACTGTTCAATTTTGACATTCTTTTCTTTTTTAATAAATGAACATGTTGAGCAAATGAGTAACATATCAACAACTAAGTATCAAATTACAGAAATCATGTAACGGACCCAACTGACGCCGAATTATTGTCTTGCAAAACAATAATATATCAGCGATGTTTTTGAGCTACTTTTAACATAAAAAATATAACAAAAATACCAAACTCCAATGCAAATTGAAAAGAGAAAGTCCATAAATACAGACAATATCAAATGCTATCAATCAACGGAACAAATGAAAAACAACCGCCATATTCCTGACCTGGTCAGGCAAATTATTATTTTTATAAACCGCTTTTATTAATGTGTGAAGCAAAACAAAAAAACGTATTTTAATTTTTGGTCTCAATCGAGGTTTATGTCACTTTAGATGTTACTATTTATTTGTGATGAAGCAATGTCTGGCAAAAAGTGTTTTTGTAATTATTTTGATTTATTCCATGTTTCTATAATATTTGCAGCATATAAGACTAGAAACTGAATATATGGTCTTTTTAAACCAATCACTATGTCGCCCCAGAATAATTGTCTTCATTTCACGTAGTTCAACCAAAGACGTATACTTGGTTGATTGATTCATTATTTATCCAATATTGTTTTTCTTTTTAAAGTAAAGAAAAATATCAAAGCTGAAAAGAAACAGTTATATTTCAACCAGTCTTATAATATTAGATATAATATACCTTTTTAAAAAGACTTTACAGTGCAACAGATTAAAATACATCTCTTAATAGAGAGGCGAAAGAAATCAAAGGGGTTTTAAAAAGGGATTGTATAATTCAGAGACAAACTCACAACGCCATGGCAAATAACGAAAAACGACAAAAGACGAACAATATCTACAAAACAAAAAATAGAAACTAAAGACTGATCAACATGAACAAAAATCAGGGGTGATCTCAGGTCCTACAAAATGTAAGCAGATCCTGCTTCACATGTGGTACCCGTTGTGTTGCTCATGTATAAGGACAAAAATGCGGTAACGGCCAAACAACTCGTGATGGTGTTCGTTAAATTTTTTAAAGGATGACTTCAACTTCACCACATGTAAATTTTTTCGTAGCTTCCTTGTGAGTAACAACCATCTATCAGTGACATCATGATAGGAAATGCAAGGTCTAGAATAACGTATCAACTGAGAAATATATACTCTATATGTAAGCGCTGCTTGAATGTTGCTACACAGAAATAGTTGGATGTTGAAATCATCTCTTTTGTTGTATAAGGTTTTGTTTTCTCAGTCGACCCTAATTGCCAATTTCTAGATGTAAATTAAGGCGACAGTAATTTACCGATTTTCAAATCCCGTAAATCGATAAGGGAGTGACAAATCAAGGTAACAAGCGAAAATTAAGGGAATCGCTTGAACTCCAAAAGGAGCGAAATCAGATGCGTCGACAGGGTAATGGTCTTCTGCTATGCATTCATTGACCGCCATGCGAATTCACACTCATTTAAAATCTTATAATCGGGAATAGGTCATAATCGGTAAAATTACAGATCAGACGACTATACTCGTATTTAAAGACATAAGACCTCGAAAACATGTGTCTAGTGAGTTGAGACACCAACACATCGGATCAAACAATTTGTGTTGGTGACCATTAAACTTGTGTAGTGTCGATTCCAGTCTTTTTCATAACTCTGTGGGGGCAGTTTTTGCGTAAGGAGAACACTACTGATAATGGGAAGTCCGTATAGTTTGAACATGCACGAGTGTAACGTATCATCTGAGATATGTAAACGCCAAACGATCATGATCTGTCATTGATTCAATATCAATTAGTCGAGCAGCCTCATTTAAATGCATTACGGACAAAATCATATTTAGTTCCACTGTAACAACGGAAACGACACGACAAGACGAACTTCCCAGAATCACAACCACCAGCCTTTGACTACAAAAAAATGCTACCGAAGCTTTCCCAAATGCCTGCTTTGCAAAATATCACTTCTTTGACGCCCATAATTTAAACTATTTGACATATAAAGAATGCATCAATACGTGAAGATAATATGCAGATTGCAGATTAGAAAAAAGTACTGCTTCCATATTGCAAAACTGGGAACACTAATGATCAAAATAAAAGATGAATTTCAGCGTGTACTTCTCAGATCAGTTAACTTGGTCGTGGCAGAAGTCTTAGAACATAAAATTACGGAATAATTAAAAATATTGACATACACTTATGTTATCGCTACCTAATCAAAATTGTCATATTCACAGAAAGCTTACATCTCCTAAACCCATCATCAGACACTCAACATTTCATCCTACTTGGCGACTTCAGCATTAACAGACACACTGGACTGCAATTTATAATGAGCTTCTTCAGCATTTCGAAACAATACATTATTAGCAATATGTTACAGAGCCTAACCCGCCTATGAATCAACACTGGACTGCGTGTTTTTTAGCACATGACTTACCTGGTGTTTTTGTTAATGAATGTTATTATTCTGATCATAATATACTCATCTTTCAAAAGACAATTTTATAATGAAGTTAGTTTCTGTGTTCCTCTTCAACAAATACATAACGCAAACATAATGTTGCCAATAAATGTTTCTTGTGCATCTCGTCTTTCCTTTAAATTCAATTAAATGTACATTTAACAATAAGAATGCGGGTGGGGAAATTCGCACCGTATCGACACATCAAGTTCTATTTGTTTGAGAAATATGGGGTTCAAAATGTAACAATTTCAAGTACCGTTTTAATGGAAAAAAATGTTTAGAAAATTTAGAATCGAAGGGACATCAAGTAGATCATATTTTGTCACGTATTGAACGAAAAATGTCAATATGTGACAAATATGATCTACAAAATTTTTTTTTTGAGACAATGTCCAAACATTTGCTGATTTAAGAAGTATGCAGCTTACTAAAATCCCCTTAAATTTGAACACTTTTGAGCAAAGTTATATCCCATGGTAAAATCGCATTTATTCATGAATAAGTCGCCAATTATACCATTAATTTTTTTTGAAAATGTATTATTACTAGTATATATAAGATAAATTGTAGTTTAAAGCAAGGAAATTACTATTATTCATTTATTTGCTTAAACTTTAAGTATAAAGTTTGAAAAACATATGTCACAAACATATTTTAGCCAAGATAGTAAGGATCATTTCCATTTGAATCCATTTTTTCACCATGAATAATTTCGTATAAACTCCAATGACTACTATTGCCATTTTCCTATCCTTATAACGAAAATCCATTTTGATGGTAAAAATACATAAAAAATACCATGCTTATAATTTGATTAGCCAGACGCGCGACTACATAAGTCTCATCAGTGGCACTCGAATCAAAACAGTTAAAAGGCAAAATCGGAATCGATGTTGAAGACCATTTAAAACCAAATATTCCGAAAGTTTGTGACAATCTATTCCTTGCCCAATGGGATAGAACAACTTTAATGTTTACAATTCAGCATTTTATAAACAGTAAATTTACAGAAAATGAACATATCTATGGTATTTCATCCTAGCAGGCACATCAACGTTGTTTCAACGTTGATCCAATGTCAGACTTCAACGTTTTTACAATGTTGAAAATTGGGTTAGATTTGAAAGTTGAAATGACGTTGAAATTTTGACTTTGAATCAACGTTGCAGTTTCAATGTTGTATTGACGTTGATAAGGTCGAGTTAGGTTGAAATCAGGTCGAGTCAAGTTAAAATCAGGTCGACAGGGGTTGAAATCAGGTCGAGTAAGGTTGAAATCAGGTAGAGTGAGGTTGAAATCAGGTGAAGTTAGGTTGAAATCAGGTCGAGTTATGTTAAATTCTGGTCGAGCTAGGTTAAAATCAGGTCAAATGTAGGTTGGTTGACGTTAGGAATTGTGATGGTTCTCATGTCTAAATTAATTTTGAATCACACTTGTTCAAATACAATAAGATATCTAAATTATGAAATAACAGAAGCCATTTTTGCACGTTAGTATACCATCAAAAGTTCTAATCACAACTAGAGACAACTCCAAAAAAAAAGAATAGTAGACAATAACAATCAAAACCAAGGAGTAATGACAGTAAGAATTCCAAGATTTTATTTGAAACCAATTACCTCAATATTAACAAAGCTTTCTATTCTAGTGCATTATTAATTTCTCAAAGCAAAGGAACACATGTATCACCTAACTCCAGCACATTGTTTTGATTCTGGTTGATCAAGTTTTCCAACTTATTCAAAATCATGTAAATGCAGCAAGTTTGGCACAGAAACAAAAAATGCCTCCTTTGTTTAATGTGAATACATAGCAGGACCATTTCAAAAAAAAATCTGATCTCATTTTAATTTTTTGTTATTCAGTATTTAGTTAGATTTTTTTTTTGTCTTTTCTAATTTTTATGGATGTCTTGTCGATCTGAATTTTAACTTTTTGTAGGTATACCGGATATGTGGTTTTTACATTTATCTTGAAGTCTTTTGGAACAAACCATAACATCACCAAGCTGTGTACTCGTTCAATCATTATACATATACACCGGATACAATTGAGTAAACTGAACAAAAAGATGCAGAACACCAAATAATGTATTTCTTAATTTCATTGCCCTTTTTACTGGCAACTAACAGTTAACGATATAATCTAAAAAAAAAAAGTTTTTAAAATGAAAAAAAAATTTTGTTTTAAAGATCTATTCTTTTGGCCTTGCGACTCCTCCTGCTCTCTCTGGAGCACACTTCAAATGCCTTCAGCACTACTCAGATATTTTGGATTCTGTTGCCACTTTGTGGCAGGCTAGAACAGCATCTGAAAGTATGGAAGAAAAAGAACATAAATTTCAATTGCATAATAACAGTTGTCTACTAAAGCCGGAAATGTTATCAAATTCTACTAATAACAAAAAATAAATGGGGAATGTGTCCAATGGGCCAAAACTCAAGAACTGTAAAAGTGACACTACCCAAATTTGAACTTGATCTGAGTGTTGTGGTAATAAGCATTGTTTATAAGTTTCATAACATTTAGTTGACGTAAACCTAAATAAGAGAACAGAAACGAAAAAATCCGCAATTTTTCCATTTTTAAAGGGGCCTAAAGTGACGCCACCAAAATTCAATATTATGTGTTTTGTGGTAATTAGCATTGTGCATAAGTTTCATAGCATTTGGTTGAGGCAAACTCAAGTTAGAGAACAGAAACAAATATTTCAGCAAGTTTGAGATTTGTAAAGGGGCATAACTCTAGAACGGTAAAAGTGACGCCAACAAAATTCAACCTTCATCTGTGTATTGTGGTAATTAGCATTGTGCATAAGTTTCGTAACATTTGGTTGAGGCAAACTCAAGTTAGAGAACAGAAACAAATATTTCAGCAAGTTTGAGATTTGTAAAGGGGCATAACTCTAGAACGGTAAAAGTGACGCCAACAAAATTCAACCTTGATCTGTGTATTGTGGTAATTAGCATTGTGCATAAGTTTCATAACATTTGGTTGAGGCAAACTAAAGTTAGAGAATAAAATCTAATATTTCAGCAATTTTTCCATTTTTAAAGGGGCATAACTTTAGAACGGTGAAAGTGACACGACCAAAATTCAAACCTGATCTGTGTTTTGTAGTAATAAACTTTGTGGATATTTCATAACATTTGGTTGAGGCAAACTAAAGTAAGAGAACGGATACAAAAAAATCAGCATTTTTTTCATTTGTAAAGGGGTATAACACTAGAACGGTAAAAGTGACGCCACCAAAATTCAAACTTGACCTGTGTTTGTGGTAATAAAGATTGTGAATAAGTTTGATATTATTTGGTTGAGGCAAACTAAAGTTAGAGAGCGGAAACGAAAAATTCAGCAATTTTTCCATTTGTAAAGAGGCATAACTCTCGAACGGTAAAAGTGATGCCACCAAAATTCAAACTCGATCTGTGTTTTGTGGTAATAAGCATTGTGGATAAGTTTCATAACATTTGGTAGAGGCAAACTTAAGTTTAGAGAACGGAAACCAATTTTTGGACGTACGGGCGGACGGACGTATGTACGGACGTACGGGCGGACGGACGCATGTACGGACGTACAGACGGACAATGGTAAAACTTAATGCCCCCTCCGCTCTATTTAAAAACATATAACACAACATGTCCATTTGAAACAATTGTCCCAGCTTGCATCAAGGATTTGTCTTACTATACAAATCCTTGCTTGCATCAATAACAAGTCAAAGCATGAATTCAAACTAGATCTGCGCTTTGTGGCAATAACCATAATGTTGATACAGGTGAAACTGACAAAGATGAGTGATATTTTACGAAAATATCAAAATGACCAAAACAGTGTTTTAAGAGCAGACCATTTCTATGTGTGTCTGACACCCCCTATCGAGTTGTATTGGAACGAATTGACTAGTATTCGATGACCCCCTCCCCCTTTTCTGATATTACTGATTCTGTACATGCCTAGATATTTTTATGTTAGTTCGCTAATTGGAGGATGCATAAAAACAAATTATTAAACTGTTTTGACACAAAAATGAATCAGATTCAGTAAGATTTGGACCTTGCCATAATTTCTGTGAACGTAAACAGATAAATTATTTGATCATTTGAATGTGTTTGTATATATTATGATTCTTTGTTAATCTAACTGTAAAATATACTTACGCTAATCTCACGAGGTTTATATAGATAAGTCTTCTCTTGTCTTTATATTCTTTAGACGTAGTTGTTTACTATTTGTTACTCAGTCTGGTGCGATAATTTTTTTAATTTTCAAAACGGATGTCGAATGGAGGTGCACGTGTTGCGTGTGTAAGCCATAATTCTTTCCGGGTGAAATAGTTTCCGGTGGAAAATTTTAAATATGAAATTCTTTCTGCAGGATAAAATTACATTATGAAATCATTTCCTTCTCTATAAAATACTTTCCTGTTTAACATATTAATTTATCGATCTTGAGGTGGAAAATATTTTATAAGTTATAGAGTATGAAATATTTTCCTGGTGATGTTAAAGTTTTGTGAGTAGATTTCATAGTGTTAACATACATTTTACCTTTTTTGAAGTTTTACTGATGAAAAGTATAATTTTCTTGTGACATTTATTCCGTAAATGATTAGATATCAATGACCGTTTTATTTCTTACAATATCAGTTTTTTTCCTGAGGACATCATGATTACTGGATAAAATGTCACGATAAAATATCATCTGGGATACAATTTCACTAAGAAATGTCATCTGGGATAAAATTTCACTATAAAATATCATCTGGGATAAAATTTCATGATGAAATATCATCTGGGATCTATTCATACAGATATACACAATTAAAATAGAATGAACTGGTTTTGAGATCCTCCCAAAAAATAGAGAAGCATTAAACACAAATTACTGAATAATAGTTTTGCATTGGCTTTTTTTAAAGATACTTAAAAAATAAACAAAAGAAAAAAATAAAATGGAAAAAGCAGATGTGTTATTGGTGATGTCTCCTGACCCCACGTTCTTGCGCAAAACTCCTTTCCAGACACCATGCATAGACGGTCCGCCCCACCTCCTTTTGTGGGGAAAATTTTGTGATTATATAGGGAATCACGGAAGCATGACAGGAGGAGGCCCCCTCTTATGACAGTCAGCGGGTCCCCTTATAAGTCTTATAAAAAGTTCTGGATTAGCCACTGATTATCCAATCGTTTATGATACTGAACTGCCCCTACGACGTAAATTCAACGTTGAATCAACGTTGTAAAGTCAACGTTGAATATCATGACGTTAAATGAACGTTGAATTTAGGTTGATCAACGTCACGACCAAATTTCAACGTTGTTTCAACATCGAGTGCCCACTGGAATGTAAAACGGAAGAGATGACTGACTTGTTTAGGTTAATGAAAATGACTACATTTTTCCCGGTCATTTTTTGAAAATTAGGTAAAACATGTGTAAAATTTAATCAAATTTAATGTTTAGAATTCCAATCTCGCGACAGTATGACTGAAGTGACCATTTGTTGTCAATATTAGCCTAACATCAGAATATTTTCCTCTATAGGTCAAATTTATAGAGGAAAATGAGATCTTTTCATTCTAAAAGGAGGATACCACTTCCACTGTCGACTTCCTAGTCTTTTCCAAATTTTTGAAAGTCTTTCTGAGCAAGTTTTTCTGAGCAATTTAAGAATTAAATATTTCATATTTGTAAGTTCATGCATCGTTTGAACTTATACACAATATCTAAAAAGTAACACGATGCTACACGATAAAGGTTATCATGTACTAAATAGAGTTACATGGCCACAGTCTTTAGTAAAGGAAAGATGACATAGAGATAAAAGAAAAACATAGCTGTGATTGACTGTTATATCATTTGCACAGGTTTCCTGCTGGAAAGCATTATTAACAAAGTTTCATGCAAGTACAAGTTTGTCTTTAAAAGAATGACATTAAGGACCGGAGATTTTTTTGGTTTTGAAATATAATTTGATGTTTATAAATTACATGCTTTTTAATTCGGTTGACGGTTTAGACTTTTCTACTCTCTACACTACACTTCCGCATATTCTTATTTCAAAAAAAAGATTTCCTATTTGATTAAATTGTCCTTTGAAAAATCTAATTGCAACTTTGTTTGCTACAACTCATATAAAGCTTTCTTCTGTAATGAAAGAGTTAAATATGCAAGATATACTTACTGGATGTGTGATGAGATGATTACAGCTGTAAATTTTCACCTTGACCACATATATGTATGTTTCGGTAATATAGTTTATCGACAGGTTGTAGTATTATTAACGGTACCAATATTTAATGCACCAAATGCCCATTTCGACAAGTAATATCTTCTCGGTGTTTTCGTTACCACTAATTACTTAAACCTTTACTAAATTCTTTTACAGATCCATGTACAAAAATTTAGTTTGGAAATTTGGTAGAAAACTGATTACTTTTTTTTTTTTTTTTTTATCTAAAATCTGATTTATTGCACTATTGCTGTTATAATGAATACCATGTCTACAGCATTTGACAGGGCACCCCTGTAGGATTAGTTTTACTGAACAAACAGGGAGATTGCTCAGTACATTAATAATAAAACTGATTACTTACGTGATAAAACATCCTGGTGTTTACGGTGATTTTAAAGTACGTACATTTATTCTTTAAGACAAGGCAGTTATATTGGTCTACTTGTTTTTGTTTTTTTATATATTTGTCTTCTTGCGGATGTGAAATTGCCAATATCTTCTTCCTCGTCAAACATGAAAGTTAAGTTGTAACATTATTTTATTCATATACTTGATTTTTCGGGTGTTATGTGCAAGGAGTCCAACATAAGGCATAGCTACCGAAAAGTAATATTGTATTAAGGTTATAAGCACTACATATATGCGAAGAGAGAAAATCAAAGCTTTTTACCTGCTATAACATCTGGTTCACAGACAGCATGAATTAATTTTCCCTGCATTCCTTCATAGATATGCGTCTCAATTGCCTCCCACCATTCATCGAGCTCCACTTTCGTTATATTTCCATCCAGTTCCTCAATTGCTGATAATTGGTTCATTGGAATGTGACTTGGTACTAGAACATTACAACGAATGTCCATGGTATTTGCAATCCAAGCCAAACATTTAGCAAAATTACCAGTGCTAGCAGTGCAAATCCCAAGTTCTAAAGTTTCTATCGGTATCTTTCTAATAGCATTTAATGCACCTCGTAGTTTAAATGAACCACATGGTTGTAAATTTTCCAACTTTAAAAAGATCTGAAAAATTAATAAATGATACTATTGAAAAAGAAATGACATAATGAAATATTAATTTATGTTCATCTAATTGTTAATTGTATTTCAACTTTTAAGGACACAATGTAGAATTACACACTTAGCAAAAAACGAAAACCCATATTCAAATTAAAACGACCCATCGAATCGGCTTGAGTAGCATTCTTTGCATATATTATTACCGTCGCAAAAGCTACAATAGTACCAATGCGTTATTGAATCATGTGGATATACTGGTGCCTTGTCACCCGTGGTGGTACAGGTCTTACGGGAGGGTAGTCTTTCATGACAGGGTCTTGTGAGGGCAGTACAAAACTTACATCTTTATGTTCCCAGAGTTGAACTAAAGGTGATGGTTGTAGTTTCCCTTTCATGTACTCACTGGCCTCCTGTATGTCAGACAACTGGACAGGTCCAACAACATAATCCATAGTGAAAGAACTCCAAAAAAAGAAAATAACGATATTAAATGTACTTTAAAACAGACAGATTTTAGCTGAAACTATACTATGATATTAATAAAAGTAGACAAGGAATATACATCAGAGATGAAAACAAAACAACACTAATAACAAACAAAAAACATTCAAAGGTCAACATACATACTTCAACAATGGACTTGTTTCTATACAATATTTTAAGCTGAAATTGCTCCAAGTATGGGATAAGTCGTAAATTAATCAAAGTAAAATAACAAAAACTGAAACTATAAAAGATTTACCAGTAATGCCGAACTATTCAAATAAAAAAAAACGTAAGGGGTTCCGCGGAACCCTGTGTCTCGCCTGCGATTGCTGATGTCAGTGTATAAGTGTAATGTTGACTTGAAAAGTGAGTCTATTTATCATAATATACAGAATTTTAAAAAAGAATTCAAACTTTTTCTTTAGATGCTAGTTCTTGGTCCTGAAGATTAGCTTCTGTCCAAGTTTCATAACAATCCATGAAGGTTTACAAATGTATCATGTAAAAAAAATTAATTCCAGACTGTTCGAAATGTTTACTGTAAAAACTAAGTCCACTTATTAGAAAAATACTGAAAATGAAAAAATTACATTTTCAAAAGTTTGCTTCAGACATACTATTAATCATATAAAAAAGCTTCTGTCAAAGTTTCATAAATTTCTATGAAGGTTTGACAAAGCGATTGATGTGTAACAAACTCTAACCCTAGACTGTATATCCTTGTTAACTGTAAGAAAAAATAAGTCCATTTATCAGTAAAATACGGAAAAATGAAAATAAATATTTTCAAATTTTTGCTCTAGATACTGTATTTGGGTCATTGACAAGTTTCTGTCCAAATTCATAAAAAAATCCATAAAGGTTTAACAAAGATATTGATGACTGAAAAACTTTAACCTCAGACTAAATCTGAATGTTAATTGCAAAAAAAAAACTAAGTCCATTTATCATTAAAACGAAAAATAAAGATAAATATTTTCAAAACTGTCTTTTGTTCGTAATCAAGCTTCTGTCCAATTTTCATAAAATTCCATGAAGGTTTGACAAAGTTATTGATGTCTAAAAAAAAGCTTAAACCAAAGACTGAACCTTAATGTTGATGCCGCCGACGTCGACGACGGAATCTAGGATCGCTATGCCTCGCTCTCGCGACATTAATGTCGCAGGCTCGACAAAAATCTAAAAGAAATGATAGAAGTACATTCCGAGTATAATCAGATCAAGTATTATGATAAACGCAGATATTTAGAAAACAAATATTTCTGTACTCCATCATCCAAAACAGAACAGACTCTACTCAATTGAAATATTTGCACTAAAAACCAACGCATATTGTTTCGAATTGAGAAATATGTACAAATAGTAAAAACAAACTTTATGTTGCATATACTAAGGTCCTGGGAACGGACGCAAAAAGTAGAGGTCAAAACTAAAAAAATACACAAAAATCAAAGTAGCAGGTGTCGTTACACTTAGCAGCAGCAACTCAAGGTCTGCTGTTATCGAATTATAAAATGGTTTAGTTTGATAATCTGTCATGTGAAATATATGTATATGAATGACACACCACAGTATGTCAAATGATCTTCGTTATGGCAATATTGTTTATCTAATTTGATATTTTATTTTTTGTTGGATCCCAACCAATACAATGGCATTATCAAACGCCAATTTCATAAAAGCTTTTGTCTTGATAAGACCTAGAAGTGTGCAAATCCTTTAGGAATAAGTCCATAATTATGTCATATAGATGTGCATAGACTTACCTATAGGTCCAGATGCCCAATGTCCTAAATTAAACTAAAATAATATTCATGGTTGATATTGAAATCGTTAAAGAGAAACCACCTATTGTATATCTCTCTCTATATGTACGGAAGTTGACGTGGAAAGCCCTAATGAACCCTCAATTAAACTCGATAAATCATAAACGTTCTAGGAAGATTATTTATGCAAAAGTATGCACCTTATTCATCTTGTACAGAAAAAAAAGTGCGTGTGCATCTGTCTTTTTGACAATTGTATAATTTCAAACAAGAAAAACTCCATTAAATCATATCATATAATGTTCAGTCATAGTGTTAAAGTTTGATATGGCTGTTTCCTATTTTGGGAAATTTTTTGTTTTTTTTTGTTTTTTTGTTTGAAATACATTTATTGAAAAACACCTGAATATAATTCTATAACCCAGGGAAGTATATGTAACAAAAAATTTGTTCCGGCGTGACATTTGTTCCGCCGGAACTTATTTCATAGAAAATATGTTCCACCAGAACTTATATCACAGAAAATATGTTCCAGCCCTGTAAAATTTGTTCCGGAACTAATTTTTTAACCAAATATGAAATAAGTTCCGGAACAAATATCACAGCTCCATGAATTTTGTTCCGATATAAATTGTTTAAAAAAAAATCAAATAAATTCCCGTTATAAAAGTTAAAAATTTTTGAAATATCAAATTAAGTCAGCATATCTGTTGTAAGTAGATAATATGATTAAAAAACAAATGCACAATTTAGATTAAAATTAAGATTAAAATTAAGATTAACAACGGTGATAAATAATTTAAACACCGTGACTATTTAATTTTTGCAGTTTTAGCCTTTTTGTTTTGTTTTTGGCAATTTTCACATTGTTGAACATATTGCTTTGTATCACTCACAATACCTTTCCAGTAATATCTTTCTGTTATCTTATTGACAGTTTTATTAAGACCTTGGTGACCACTATGGTCATGGCACATTTTTAAAATACTTTGGACTTTGTCTTTTGTAACTATAAGTCTTGGTAAACTGACCAGTAGTTTTGTCCTTCTCAATACAATACAAATGTTCATCTTCAACTATGAAATTTTTCTGTGTGATTTTTTCGAATTCTTCTTTTTTCTGCATCATTTGTTTCATTTGGATATTTTTTTTCAAGAATGTAATTAAATATTTTGCTATACTCCAATGGATCCATATTTGGATGTTTACACTTTTTATTATTATATATTATCAATGTAAGGCTTGTTTTATGATGTACTTGAATGATAACTTTAAACTCACTAATGACAATGCTCATTATTTAAGAAAAGTTGTATAACCAGTGGAACATATTTCACAGACTAGGAACTTATTTCACCAGGTAAGGAACAAATTTCATAGAATAGGAACTTATTTCACAATGTAAGGAACAAATTTCATAAACCCAGAACTTATTTCACCAGGTAAAGTGTGGAACTTATTTTATAGAGATGGAACAAATTAAATAGAAATTGTCTGTGAAAAAAGTTCTCCCGGAATATATTTCATGTGATATTTGTTCCACTGGAACTTTTATCACAGGAACAAATTTTGGCTCACATATACACAAGGGGCCCTGTGTTTACAATGATCCATCGTCCAGGGATAAACGGTACCGGTGGACTCTGTTATATAAAACAAATCTATTTTCTATGTTTATCACATAAGTTACATTCTAAGACTTATTCATTACACAGACAGAATTTGCGATCAAACATTATAACATTCTACATCAGATAAATACATCAAAAGACACACTACAATCTACACATTACCTTTGCTTATAATTGACATTTAAAATTTGTAATTTTAATTAAAGGGGCACTAGCTGTCAAATTCATGTTCACCGATTTGACTCAAATTCTCATATTTGATTTATAAAAACAAAACATTTATTGAAAAACACCTGAATATAATTCTATAACCAAAGGAAGTATACACAAGGGGCCCTAATACATTTATTGAAAAACATCTGAATATAATTCTATAACCCAGGGAAGTATACACAAGGGGCCCTGTGTTTTCAATGATCCATCGTCCAGGGATAAACGGTACCGGTGGACTCTGTTATATAAAACAAATCTCTATTTTCTATGTTTATCACATAAGTTACATTCTAAGACTTATTCATTACACAGACAGAATTTGCGATCAAACATTATAACATTCTACATCAGATAAATACATCAAAAGACACACTACAATCTACACATTAACTTTGCTTATAATTGACATTTAAAATTTGTACTTTTAATTAAAGGGGCACTAGCTGTCAAATTCATGTTCACCGATTTGACTCAAATTCTAATATTTGATTTATAACATTTGTAAAACATTTATCCAAACTATTAAACGTCTAAAATAAACAATTTACAGGCATGGGCTCGATAATATGTAGCTTCGATTCGTATGTATTTTAGTCTAGACGCCATCTATTTAACTATCGAGTTGACCTCCGAAGTCATTCGATGACCATAGCGATGTAAACATAAATATAGATATAAATAGATTAAGCGAACTCGTGCAATGGAATTTTTCTATGTCTTTTTAATTTCGTATTATAGATTAAAAATATATGTTTATCATCGTTTTTACCTTTATAAGAATGATTTTTGTGGATCGAATCATTCAATCAAATGATTTACTTTTGTTTTACTTTCAATGTTGACATTATTTTCCTTTAAATAACTTTACACGAACAATTCATGCTTTATCCATCTCTAGCTAAGGGGTTAAATTGAAGTTCACATGAATACGGATTCAATGAGGTCGAATTATTCACTTGCAAGTGAATAATTCGTCATCAATGTTTCTTAGCTTATTTTGACAAAATTGAACCATACTGGCTGCTAAAAGAGAATAATTATTTCACTTTTTCACTTTCATTAATGATTGAACAAAAAAAGTCCTATTTTAGATTTTTTTATATATCTCGTAGCTAGTGCTCCTTTAACACCTGGATTACATTGTAATGTGTCGGTCGTCACATGCTCGACGTTATCATTTCATTTATACTATATTGCTGTTGGTGGATGTATAATGTTGCAAATAGGAAAAGAATGTAAGTACAACATTGATAAGTTGCTTTTTAAGGTATAACGGTTTGCAATAAGTTTTATTTCAGCTGCAAATTTTTTCTTTTTTTGGAGATAATGATATATCCATAGATTCAATCAAACTGC